CCAACAGCAAATCAGCATTTAAGAAGGGACATAATTTGGCAATACATTCTCAACTCATTAAATATTGATGCTTTCAGACCAAGCTCCCTGCACATCACATATTGACATGAAGGCGATACCCCTTCATGTCATTTATTGACGCCAAGGGTAAATGACAGGTTGCGGACATTATATCACGTGCCACCCATATGACCTGCAACAAATAAAAAAATAAAAATAGCATACAAATTTATTGCTAGTAGCATTAAAAGTGTATGGTAACATGTATAGTTGTCTTTCTTTCTTTAGGTCTTAGGGTAAGGGATGGGTTAGTGTAAGTTTTTTACTTTGCAGTTCATGGAAAATGTTCTTAAGCTACTGAATGAGGGACGGCTGGAGCGAGAGGTCAATAGACAGATCGGTGCGGCGTTGGCAGTGATGCTGTACCTGTGTCGGACTGTCGTGGTGAAGAGAGGGAGCTGAGTCGGTGGGTCAAAGCTCTTGATTTACTAATCGATCTACGTTCCCACCCTCACCTATGGTCATGAGATCTGGGTAATGCCCGAAAGGACAAGAGCGCAAATACAAGTCGCCGAAATGAGTTTTGGCATGGTGTCTGGATGCTCTCTTGGGGATGGGGTGAGGAGCTCAGTTACCTAGGAGGAGCTCGTCGTAGAGTAGTTGCTCTTACACGTCAAAAGAAGCAAGCTGAGGTGGCTCAGGCATCTGGTCGCCTCCCTCGGGAGGTGTTCCAGGGATGTCCTATGGGGAAGAGGCCTCGTGGAAGGCCTAGGACATGCTGGAGGGACTATGGCTCTGAGCTGGCCTGGAGTCGCCTTGAGGTCCCCCCAGAGCAGCTGGAGGCGGCGTGTGTGGATCGTTAAGTCTGGGTATCGCTGCTCAGACTGCTGCTATCCAGCCCCGAATAAAGGGGGGGTGGATGGATGGATGGATGGATGGATGGATGGATGGATGGATGGATGGATGGATGGATGGATGGATGGATGGATGGATGGATGGATGGATTATAGTGTGAAGTGAAATTCCCAAAATTCAATATTTTTCATTACGCCAAAGTCACATTGAAAAGTAACACCTCATAAAGAACTAGGTAACTTTGATGTCTTTGTAAAAAGTGATTCTATTATCATCAAAGTTTGAATTAGATGAGAGTAAGAGGTACCAGTGAAGCAGCAGCTTCAATAAACCTGACCTGTTTTTACAATATTGAAAATGTTGTATGAAAATCTACAATACGTAGTAATCTAATGTTACATCATATCAGAGACTGGGAGGAAAGGATATGGTGAAAAACAGAGGTGAAAACAGAGAGTGCTGGTGATGCAGCAAACTCCTATTTTATATCCACAGATAAATGCGCTGCATGCTCGCCTAATCAGAGTGTTCAGATGTACAGATGGAGAACAGCATATTGGCTGTTTTCTTTAACAGACTTTGGAAGCCTGAAGCTTAGCAAACAACCACAATGAGCCAGAAACTTAGAACAATCTGTTAATGCTTATTCTTACTTTAGATTAGCAAACTTTTCCAGCCCAGCTGGAGCTGAATTCTGCTCATAAATGTTAGGAATCCCTGATATTTATATCATATTTTAATTGGAGTAAAGCTACATATGCAAAACTGAATCAGATACAAACTAAAAGATATATATATATATATATATATATATATATATATATATATATATATATATATATATATATATAATAACAGTTAGTTAGAAGAAACAGTAATTTTTTTGCATTAGTTGCAAGAGCTGATTACATTACCGTAGTTAAGCTCATCTTGGCAGATCTAATCAAATATACAAAGCTCTTTGAAAAACAGGTGAAATTGCCTTGAACTAATTGATTTAAACAAAGATGGGGTCTGCAGTAGTAGTCGGTGATGAGAGCTTAACATTGGAAACTAGAATCAGCAGCTCTAATTAAGCAACAAAGTAAATGGTGGGATGACTCATGCTCAAATCACCGAATAAAAGCAGTAGAAGTAAGACAGGTAAGGACTACAGGAACTGGCCACAAATTAGGAATAAAAGTAAAGTCAATCTTTTAGCTGCATATGCTGTTTTGCTACAGAACAGAAGACAGTGAATTAAAATCCTAAAAAGACAACATAGAAAAAGAATAAAATTGAATATAAGAGAAATAAAGTAAGAAAATGAAACATAAGCAGCCAAGGAGAAAAAAAGAAAGAAAAAAAGCCAATCTGAAGTTTTATTGTTAACATTCAGAGCTTTTCTGTCTTCTTAATTTAAAATGCTGTAATTTTCCAAATAATTTATAAATTAATAGACATTGAAAAAGGTTCAAGTCAATACTAAAGTTCTAAATGTATGGATTGCTAACTGTAAAAATTATCATTTGATTTTACCTGGACAGTCAAACAGGGAGACAACCTGGTTTAAACAGGATTTATAATAATAAAAGCTGTATTTATAATAATTATAATATAATTGCATTAGATAGATAGATAGATAGATAGATAGATAGATAGATAGATAGATAGATAGATAGACTTAAGATTAAATTGTGTGAAACACAGAACAGCTAACTGGTTGTTAAGTAAAACTTTTCTTATCAAACTTTGCACAAAGTATAGAAGAAAAATGAGAAGAGCAATGATGGACTTATCTCAAAATTTACAAAACAATTATATCTGATATTGACAGGCTTTATTGTTTATTTCCTTTTTTGATATATAGTTGGAGTTTTGCTTTTTTTGATCATGTCTCATTCATGAGTCCTTCAGTGTTTCTTTCCCATTTCTTTTTTAGGTTGGAAGATGGGAGCCTTTCTTTGTAAAGACTAACCAAAAACAGCATAGCATTGTGGTGAAAAGAAGGAAACTTTTAGAAACTTATTGTGTGCTCCCTAACACACATACTGTCCAGATCAAATGAAGAGTGTCATATTTCATTAGAGAAACACGGTTTTGATATTTAGAAGAGTTCATTCAAGCGGATATTGTGGGAGAATTAAAAAAGATCACAGAGGGTTCTAAAAAGAAAAAAGATTGAGTTTAAGAGGATGAAGATTTGTATGCATAGTATTTCAAGCAATTATTCAGCATTTCTGTGGCATTCTGTGAGATTTTCCAGGGAAAAAAAATAACTTGACGCATCCTCCAGTTTACTCTGTGGCTAAAAGACCTTAACCACAGACAGAGGAATTAAACTCTCTGAGTCATGTGTTTGGATTCAACATGTTCTTGGTGTTAGACATGATCAAACTACAGGGACATAATGAAAAAAAAACCATAGAAGGCTGTTAGACCTTTTTTCACATCGCAATTTCTTCCACATTGTCTTTGAGAAAAACACCCTTACTGTATATCCACACATAAACAGCCTGTTTTGCCTCACCCTTCATCATCATGCTAGACCTGCCTGTTTCAACACGGCGGTAGACGGAGGAGCTCATTGTCATTCCACATGGGTCGGCTGATCTTTCTCTGCCTTGGTCGTCATTCCTCATCATGGCTTCCACCAATCTGAAAATCTCTCATAACTGGGATCCACTAGAGATGTGGGGAATCTGTGAGTGAAGCTCCATCTCTTGGGGGGGATTCCTTAACAGAGCTGCAGGAGAGTCTTTTGGGGAGTGTTCAGCAAAGATGGAGATGGAGACAAAAGGAGGAAGGCTTTCCTCCCCTCAAAGCTTGTGAGGGCTACAAAGCCAAAGCTGTTCTAATATTGAGAGGAAAAAGCTCGGTCAAGCTGGCTTTTTGGTCTCCTGCTTGGTTATTATGCACCACAGAGGGAGATATGAGCAGAGAAAGTAGCAAGCAATCTCCTTGAAGGAAGCTTGCATCTCTCCTTGAACAACCAGAGCTCATCAATAAGTGATGCTCTGTCTCTTCCAGTCAATCACAAACACAAGAAGTGCCTTGATTTGTTTTAGAAAATTGTACTCCACACAGTTTGTCTTTATTCTCCCCCCAAGCTTCCTTGATGACATCCCTTGTTCCCTTAAACTTTATACCTTTAAAGATAAATTGATTTTAAAGTTAATTTCCATACACGTGAAAAGAGTTTGAGCTGCTCTTTAATAAGCGGCGCTGCTGTGATTGCCCCGGCTGGCCTTTGGCTCTCTGTCTTGTGACTCTTCCTCGGTAGATTCCAGCAGAGAACGGTGATAGGGGCTTTTTCTGGCCACAGTGAAACCTAATCCCATTTCACAGTGGCAGGCCATCGTGCCAAAATAATCACTTGATGGGAGTTGAAAGTGATTACCAATGTTCTCTCTTATCTGCAGTGAGGGCAGAGAATATCGTCAGGCAACAACCTTTTGCCCCTATGATGGTGAGCCAAGAGAAGAGCAAAAGAGGAGGACACAATCACCCAGAAAAAAAAAACAGCCTTCAGTGGCTTTCCACGGTTTGTATGTCAGGAGCACTTACAAAAGATGCACGCTCTGTAAGTTGATTCGCTTGGATAAGTAATTAGAGCAGTGGTCCATCCACTCACACACAACCTACATATTTAACAATGCCTTCTGTAGCCGTGAATTTAAATGTCCTCTCTTTGTTTTACTGATAAGCCATTAACATCTGTTTTTTTTTCCTCATTTTTAATTCTTTCTTTTTCATTTTAATTAGTTTAACTGCTAGTTTTTAAACTGCAAAGACCTGCTCCAGCAGAAATTCTGAAGAAAGCAAACATTTCTATTTGCAGCTTCCTGATTTGTTGAAACCAGGCAAAACGGTTCAATAGAAAATAGAGGAATTATTATTGTAAATGTTTCTTAATTTCATTGACCGAGTACCAAATACAGTTAATAAACAGAAAATAATTTTAGCATCAAATAGATTTTCTACTCCACATTTCCATGCTACATATTCAGCAACTCGCTCAAGGGCACATCAGTATTCTGAACGCTTGCTTTCAAAGTGACTTGAACCCGCAGGCGTCCTCCAGATTTTAGGCTTTCAGTGCTCGCTACCTCCCCGTTCAGCTTAGCGGGTCTTCTGACAGCTGAAAAATCAGGGTGTTTCCTCACCTGATAGTCAGACATGACATATAGTGAGTTCCTGTCCAGGGAGAAAGCCATGTCCCGGAGGATTGGGCTGCTGTCCTTCATCACAGTCAGCGTCTCATACAGCACTCCTCCTTCCTGAGCTCCATCCACCCTGATCTGAAAAGACATGGAAAAACACAAACAATAGGAGTTAGAGACACACTGTAAGGATATATATTCACTTTTAGCATCTGTAGACAATAGATTCAAACCTGGTTAGGAACTAGAAAAGGAATTTGGCTCATCATCATCGGAAAAAAATTATTTATTTTTTTCAATCCGTTCTGTTTGTAAAATTTTTGACAATTTGATCACATTGAATATTAAATATTTTCTTTTTCACACACATACTGATCTGAATAGGTTTAGTTTGCTAAAACAAATTTTAGTCTATCATATATGTCAAATATAATAAAAATATAAATTACTGAGAGTTTATCTGTAAATGAATTTTAATTATATTTATAAAAAAATCCATTAGCAATAACCTGACCTTAATAACCATATTTTTTATTGATATACAAGAGGTTATTTATTTCTCAATTTTTTATTTATTTATTTATTTTTTTAACAGTGTCCTGTCTGGCCATGTGGCAATACGAATAACTGTCTTGATGCCAAAAAGAGCCCAACAGATTTGACTTTCACAAGTGGAGCAGTACGGCTATCGCCATAGTGTTCCACTTGTTTTATGCAAATAAATTGCTTTATTATAATTATGCAGGCAGTTTTACAGCTTATATGGACACTGTAATGTTGGTAGAACAGGAAAGGAAAAACAGAAAAAAAGGAGAAAAGATGAAAGAAAGAGGAAATAAAAGGGAGATAATGATAAAACATTTTCAGTCTGCTTCATCACCTGCAAAGAGATGTAAAAAGAACAGCAAAGCCAACAGACATGGTACGAGACATACAATAAAGTAACACCTAGATACTATCACTGAAGTATAAGTAGTATTATTCTCTATCCTACTGTATACACAGAGCAAAGCGCTTATTGTTACTGTGGTTGTAGTCAGACCATGCACCTTATACTGTATGCACTGTGCATTTCTTCATCATATACAAAAAGGTCAGATTTGTCCTGTAGGATGTGGATGATGCCCAGCAAGAGGTCACTGCTTGAAAGGAGTTTTGTTAAAAAGCGGGTTGGGAAGACTTGGGAAGAGAAGAGTTCTTGTTTTCTTTTTCTCCTTTTTTATGTTGGACTTCATGTAAAAGGAACTTGGGCTGTTTTGATTAAAAATCTTTTTGATCAAGTTTTACTCCTTAAGGATGTCTGCCTTTAACAAAACACATCATTGATTTTCACGATAGTTTGCTCTAATTTATCAGAATTGCCAGTTACTCCTAATTCAGAATTCCTAATTTGAAACAACTGAAAAAGACAGAAAAGGAAATAGCAATGCTTTTATACTAAAGAACATCATGCCTACTGTGAAACATGAAGAAGAAACATTTTATTCTGATGCATGTTTTGCTGAGTTCACACAAGAAAAGCTGTATCTGTGCTGAGCACAACGAAATGTTGAGACTACAAAGGCCTCTAGATGAGTTGCAAAGATTCATTCAAATATGACTGAACTAGTTTAGCTTTCTAAATACGATGCAATATTCTTTTGGAACATAGTACAGGGGTGAAACAGTACAGTTTTTACAGTTTGTCAATTCCAATTGATTCTCAAAGCATTAGTTAAAAACTACTGTCTATTTTGGATTTCTTTTTTTTTTCATTGTTTACAACCTTTTTTTTTACTATTTTCACCATTCAAGGAGCGCTAATAGATCCTTTATGTTCTATTACATACATCTAAAAACATTATCCGTGCAAACCTTGGGCACTTTGACAATCATTCTTCACATCCACAGACTTCACAACTCAAACTGCTAAAATGTGTGAATGTCCCCTTAGCTGCTCGAAGTGGACACACCAGAAACGTGTGTGAAGGGAAGATTCAATCTTCACAATACGCTAATACTTTGCTAAAACATTACAGAGCTCAAATCATAGACATTAAATCAATGTTTCTGAATTTTTATTTTTTCATCTCCCCTAAAATCCATAAGAAAATTTCCCAGATGTTCATCTCACAGAACTGTTACAGTTTAGGTGCACACAAACAGTTACGCTGACTTTTACAAAAAATTTCCTCCAAAGCAAACATAACAGATGTAGAGCAGTTTTCACTTTTCCTTTCCACTTTAACAATGTGAGCTGTTTCAGATCAGCATAATAATAAAAAGTGGGTCTTAGATCAAATTATGTCTCTGATGCAGAATCATTCAATAGGTAGCTTATTTTTTTTATCAGATCTACACCTATGCAGTGCTCTCTACGTAATAAAAGCTATATGTCAATTTTTTTTAAATGGCCCTTTCCTTTGTAGTCACTAAAAATACCTGTATTTGTAAAACAAAGCCTATCTCTGTCTCTGCAGGAATAAGGTAGACAGTATTCTGCATTAATGATAATTTCACACAGTAAAAATCAGAAGTGTGAAAAAAGGCACTCAAGTTTGAATAAAAGCAAAATAGATGGAAACGCAAACAAAAAAACCTTATTAGTTATGCAAACCCAGACTGAGGCCCTATTTAAATTCCATGGAAATTGGATTGTTTGCGGTGTGATGCAATTATAGTAAAGCTGAATTAATTTCCCAATCATAATAATTAAAAGAAATGCAAGATCACGAAGACCTGAAGCAGGGAAATTGTGGAACTGTTCTCAAACTGCTGCAGCGTGATTATGCCACATCTTCCCTGCATGAATCCGAGCACGTGGCCTCGCCAGCCAAATCAAATTTGACTGCAGATGGTTTTGAGCGTTTGCCAAGTCTAGCTCGTACAATGTGGCAGAGCCTCAGCATTCTCTCAGTGGGGACAATCAATCAATAGAAACTGATTACATGATTGGATCCCCCAGGCACCAAAACTTCATCAATCAATCAGGGCTCCACCTTCCAGGCAGATGTGCCTTGCCAACAGTAAGCCGAGGGAGCCAGGAATAAAAAAACAAGGGGTGTTCCGAAAAGGGGCGTGTTTTAGTTTAGGCGGAAAAGAGGTTAGAAATAGGAGGACATGGCTGCAGTTTTTTTCTTTTCTTTTTTTGCAACTCCATCCAGGAGCAATAGTGATAGGACAGTTTTATATTTGCAAATCAGTCAGCTCTGCCTTTTCAGGACTGTTTATTACCTCTCTACCATGTATATTTTCGTTCAAAAGGATACTTTACACACAGCTTTAAGTTTTCAGTAGGATTCTTCTTGTTCTTTCTGAAAGTCCCAGTCAGTAATATATGTTAATTTTGCCATGTTTTTCTGCACTCCTCTGTTTATGAATAGCTCTCGAAAAAAAATTTAAGAATTATCTGGTGAAATACGCCTATGTATAACCCCCCCACACACAAACACACACATACACACACACCAAGAGGACAAATATATTGATTTTGTGGCATTTTGGTATCATGAGAGTGGCTGAGGGCTAGAGGTAATAAAATGAGCTCTGACCAATACTGACCCTTCATGACTGATCCGTAGGGCTTGATTTCAGTGCATTCAACTCATGGTTTTATTATCTAAAGCAGGGCTGGCCAGGTGGACGCCCTCTGGGAGGACATGGTCCTCAATCTCTCCTTAAGCCCTACAGCTTCATAATGAGAGTAAGGCGGGTTTAATTAGTTTTATAATGAGCCTGCTTGTTGAAGGTGACACATAGTTGAACACATAAACACAAGATATGGCTTGCAAACAAGAAATAAATTAAACTAAAGAAAGTAACTCTCCCTTTGGTTGCACTAATACAATTTGTAATTGCAAACTGTGAACAGGATAGCTTATTTGGACAATCTCTGGCTTTATATTAGTAAATGATTAGACCATACAAAAAATCACGATGGCCTTAATTCACTAAATAAAAGTATTGTTTTATTGTCTGCTGTATAACAGCCCCAACTCAGCATCTTATTCACAAAGCAAATAGAACTAAACTGTGTAAAAATCACTGTATTTATACCTGAAACCTGTGTTTGACAGTTGGATTAATTTTAACTGAATTATGAATCTGCCTCTACCTGGATTTTAAGTTTGACTCAAAATACGCATGTAGAAATTGAAATTTTTTTTTCTTTCCATAAGTAAATCCAAGATTATTGCAACTAAAGGAGTAATGCTAATTTTCACAGATATTAAGGAGACAAATAATTTCCTAATTACAGGGATAGTGTAATGTAGTTTACATTTTTAAACAAAAATACACTCCTCAAAACAAATGACTTCACATGAAAACAACACAATATAACTCAATTCAAAGCAAACTTCTATAAAATCAAACTGTCCAATTAGGAAGCAACACTAATTGGCAATTAACTTCAAATGCTGTTGCACAAATGGAATAGTCAACAGGTGGAAATTATTGGCAATTAGCAAAACACTTAATAAAGGAGTTCTGGAGGTGGGGATCACAGACCACTTCTCTGTACCTATGCTTTCTGGCTGATGTTTTTGTCACTTTTGAATGTTTTTGGTGCTTTCACACACTAGGTAGCATGATACAGACTCTAAAACCCACACAAGGTGCTCAGGTAGTGCAGCTCCCCAGGATGGCACAACAATGCAAGCTGTTGCAGGATGGTTTTCTGTGTCTGTATACGTAGTGTCCAGAGGCTGGAGGACCTACCAGGAGACAAGCCAGTACACCAGAAGACATGGAGGAGGCCGTAGGAGTGCAACAACCCAGAAACAGGACTACCTTTGCCTTTGTGCAAGGAGGAAAAGGAGTACTGCCAGAGCCCTGCAAAATGACCTCCAGGAGGCCACACATGTGCACTGCCCAAATGGTTAGAAACCTACTGCATGCAGATGGTATGAGGGCCTGACATCCACAGATGGGGGTTGTGCTCACAGACCAACACCGTGCAGAACAGTTTGCATTTGCCACAGAACTTTGTCACAGAAGTTCGCCACTGGTGCCCTGTGCTCTACAGATGAAAGCAGGTTAACACTGAGCACATGTGACAGATGTTACAGAGTCCGGAGAAACTGTGTACAGCGATCTGCTGCCTGCAACATCCTTAAGCTTGACCGGTTTGACAGTGAGTCAGTATGGTGTGGGATGGC